ATTTGATCCATCAGTTGCTTTCAGTTTTGTCTTTCTGTGTTTTTGTCGCAGAGATCCTGATTTTCAGCTGCTACAGGAAGGACAAAGGTATGGTTGAATCAGTATTGCTTACCTTCTGTACTTTCATGTTAATAGAAACAGTAAGAGGAAAGCAGGTGATAGGACTCTGGGACTTCCTGTCCCTATGCCTTGTGTGAGTGCCCATTCTAGCCCACACAAAGAGATGTTTGCCTTGTACAGCTTTTTTTCTTTTGTGATGGTAAGATGATGTGTTTGATCTATATGATTTATTGTACAGCTGTTCCTACCAAGGAAGTCTAATTGAACCTGTTGAAATATGACACAAACACAGCTTCCATCTGAGATACTGCGCTTCTTTGTCAACTAGATTGAGCTAATAGCATTTGTTGAAAGGTTTTTATAGTCCTATTTTATAGAATTTCAAAACATTAATATATCAGTTATTTAATTACTTGGAAGAGTGTCTAAAGTATTAATAGAAATTCTAAGTTGTGATTTTTTTCCCCTAAACTTTCCTCGTGGACTTGCTTGCCCAACCATGATCATCTCTTAAAATATATCCTTTTATCTCCCAGAATAAATTTTCCTGGTTATTTAGTCACTACCTTAGTTAGACGGAATTGAGCACAAGTTAGAGATACTGATATAAATCTTCAATTTATAGCTTCGAAATAGTACAGAAAATATAATTACAATTCTAGAGAAAGTATGAAAATTGAATTGTTGTGAGTTTTTTAAATTATACTTCCTTCCGGTACAAAAGATAGCGTGTGGGCTATACAGGCCAGATTCTGACTGAAAAATGGTATCTAATACAGAATAAGCTTACCATCTTTTTTCTCCATTCCCATCTACAACCTTGCTTTCAGCTCTTTTTCTTCTTCTTTCACACTTCCCCCAATCATGCTTTTTTGTTTATTGCTAAATTATTTGATTTCATTTTTTAAAGTCGCTTTAAAAATTATAATAGCCTTTTTTGGAGACCTATCTTCGGTTTACAGAAAAATTGCTTTAAAAGTAGAGTTCCCATATATGCCTTCACCACTCTCCACATGCTTCTTGACCCAGAATCGTTCCCATTTTGGTTTTTTAAATTCTGGTATGTGTATTTGCTGAAGGGTAACTGCTCTTCTGTCCTTATTTATCTCAGGTTTGTATAGATAAAGCTACTCTTTGCCTCTACTCTTTCATAATTTTTATCTTTTATAAACCTAATCTGAAATAAAGGAACATAGCCAAAGGGAAAACTGTTACCTTTTATTATTAGCATTGTGTCTTAACTCTTGATTTTCAAATACAGATATCTTTTATTGATAAATGTTGATTTTTCAGTTTTATTTTCTGCTGTGACTTTCCTGTGTTTTTCATTCTATGGAATTTCCTGTATAACAATCATCCAGAATTGGAAAATGTTTAAACATCTCTTTTTATTTTTATCTTTCAAAAGCTAAACAGTTTCTGTAAATTTTTTTTGAGAAACCAGTAATGAATTTTTCAAAAGAAGGCATTTTTTAAAAAAAGGATGTATAAAACAATTACAGAAATGGAGCAGGCAAAAATCAAAATAATTCAGTAGGATGGAATTATCAAGTGTTGGTGTGTGGGTTTTTATTTATTTTAGTGTGTGTATGATTTTGTTTTGTTTTGTTTTTTATTGTTGCTTTACCCTTTTAACACTTTCAAAAATAATTGGGGAGAAAATATAAGTAAAGAAGGTGGAAAGATAACTATATCAAATAAAATGCAGAGAAATTATAGCCTTCTGAAGTGTGTGCATGTGTTGTGTGTGTGTGTGTGTGTGTGTGTGTGTATACAGGCGTAGATAAATATAAGCCTGTAAATAAGACTTTGCCTAGGGAATAAAAATTTCTACCTTGAAAGTTACAGAGTATAAATACTGTAGGACATTTTGCTTTTCTGCTATAATTGTTTCTGTTCTTTCCTTCAACAGTGGCCGTTCTGGAGAAGAAATACAGTTACGCAGTACAGCCATTAAGACATCAGATATTGACAATCCTGGCCATTTTGAGAAGCATTGTGAATCTAGTTCTTCTGGCACTCACAGTGATAGTGGCAGTGATAACGAGCAAGACTTTGTTTCCTCCATTCTACCAGGAAACAGACCAAGTGCAATGGGTATAAGGCCACAGCTGCGCAAGAAGAGCATAATGAAAAAGAAAGCTGGTCAAAAAGCTAGCTCCAAACATGAAAGCAAGGAACAGACAGTGATAAATGTCGCTAAGCAATTAGACAATTGCAGATTAGATAGTCAGGAGAGAGCTGCTGCTTGTGAGCTTCCTGTGCAGAAAGTAAATACTCAGATTTCTTCAACTAGCCCTTCACAAGAAAAATCAGAAGCTTCAGAAGCTTCTGAAAATAAATACAGTAGTTCAAAAATAACCCTTGTAGGCATAAGTAAGAAAAGTGCTGAGCATTTTAAGAGGAAATTTGCCAAATCGAACCAAGTTCCTAGGTCAGCATCTAGTTCAGTGCAGGTGTGCCCTGAGGTTGCAAAGGCAAACTTACTTGAAGTCCTGAAGGAGACTTTGAATGAGTGGAAGACAGAAGAAACCTTGAGGTTTTTGTATGGCCAGGATTATGTTTCTGTATGTCTGAAACCCTCTTCAACCCCTCTGGTTGAAGAAGACGAACTTGATGAAGGTGATGTAAACTCTGACCCAGAGAGGCATTCCCCTGCCTTGCAGGAATCTCAGAACAGCTTGGATGAGTCTTTACCATTCAGAGCCTCAGATTCAGCCATTAAACCACTGCCAAGTTATGAAAACTTGAGAAAAGAAACTGAAACATTAAATCTAAGAATCAGGGAGTTTTATAGAGGACGGTACGTCTTGAATGAAGAAACCACCAAATCACAAGACTCGGAAGAGGTATGTCTTAATGGCAATGACTTTTCCATGCTGCTAACGTATGGAACACTCACCATAGCAAATCTTGGAGCAGGAAGAAAAGTACGGAAGAAATAATTTTTTAAATTTTCAGAAGGCTTCTTTAGTCTTTCAGTCTTTTGGTTTGAAATGCAATCTCCAGTGTTGACATTATTATTTTCCAAATAAGTTAAAGTTTGCTCCAGAAAGTTTTCATAAATATTTAACATTTTGCTCTAATGTAGAAATAGCCTAGAATTGTGGAACAAAGTTTTAGTTAAAACCAAGTTCTTCATACAATGTGTACACTCTCTGAAAAGGCATGTTTTTTCCTTTGTTGGTATGTATGCTTTCAGGTTTCTACAGAATGTGTGTCTTTGTGAAATATTTAGGTAATATTTGGCAAGTATGTGCATTTAAAATACTGTGAATGAAAATAATTTAGTACAGGAGACTTACTGGGAAATAGTGGACATAGAAAATGGAAAAAGCACATTGAAGCAAACCTATACTTGAATATCTGCTCTGTCATTTACTAGCTGTATGAATATTTAGTCTCCTGAGTCTGCTTATCTGTAAATGGGGTTATGACGGCTCCCCTCGCTCAGCTGTAATGAGTTATAAAGGTAACACGTGTAAAGTATTTATTACAGCGACTGACATATGGTTGGTACTCAGTTATATGTAGAAACTGATGTATGCCTCAGAGATTTAGGGAGGTTCTTTCAGTATTTCTAGTACCCATTTCTGGTTGACATGTAGTTTGGGAAATGAAGTCATTTGGCATGAAGAGGAATAGGTGATAATCTCACTTTTACTACATGAGTTTGTTGCTAAAGACTTCTGAGAAAATATGACTCTAAATTTAAGAATATACTTGGAGATTTAGAGGTGAAAGTGAAAATACAGAAAAAATTTAGAATTTCTTTTATTTCTACAGAATGTTGCCTAGCCCATCGCTGTACTTGAAATAACTTCCAATTGTATTATTAGACAGCATTCGTAACTTTTATGTGAAGCCTGGGGAAGTCTTGGTCCCTGTCACTCAGCTGTGTAAACCTTAGTACATCACTTGTTTTATCATTTTTGCGCTTCCAAGCCTTAAGGAAAAATTAATACCTGAAACTTGCCTGCTCCTCCGTTTTTTAAATGTTTTCATTGAAGTATAACACAGATAGTAAGTGTACAGTTCAGTGCATTGTCACCAATGAACATAGCAATGTAATCACTACCCAGGTCGAGAAATTTGAGTGAATGAGGAGCCCCCTATGTCTCCTCCTAATCATTGCTTCTTTTCAAAATTAATGGCTGTTACTATAGCTTAAGAGTAATTTTGAGTTTTATATAGATGGAATCACATAGTATGTATTTTTTCATGTCCAGTTTATTTCGTAAAAATGTTTGTGAGTTATTTGTGTTGCATGTACACACACACACACACACACTAGACAATGCCAAACAGTTTTCCAGAATGGTTCTCCCGTGTCTGAGCGGTTTCGTGACTCCACATTCTCGCCAGTACTTGATATTGTTACTTTTCACCATTCTGATGATGTTGCTTTATAATACACTTCTCTGATGATTAATGAGGTGAGCACTGTTTCATCTGCTTCTGGACCATTTGGATAGTCTCTCTTGTGAAGTACCTGTTGAAGTCTTTTTTTCCATTTATCTATTGGAATATGGAGGGGAGTGCTTCTTGTTGATTTGTAGGAATTCCTTATGTATTCAGGATTCAAGCCTGTTTTTATTTGTGTATATTACCAATAATCATCTTCCACTCAGAGACTTGCATTTTCACTCTGATTAATGGTGTCTTGAGTCCAGTTTATTAATTGTTCTCTTTAGTGACTTCTTTAAGAAAGCTTTGCTTAGCCCAGGTTATTTCATCTTCTAGAATCTTTGTTGTTTTTCCTTTCACATTTAGATCTGTAATTCATCTGGGATTGATTTTTGTTTTTGAAGTATGGGTCAGGTTTCATTGTTTCCCTCTGGGGTAACGTGCACTCATTAGAGTTTGAGAAGCACTATTGATTGTTCTTTCCTTGTTTGTTTTTTTGTCTGCTCATTCCATAAGTTAATGAGAAAGATGGGAAAAGTGGGTCAAAATCTCTCACGATAATTATAAATTTATTATTTCTCCTTTTAGTTTTGTGAGTTTTATTTTTAATATTTTGAGACCATGTTATTGAGTGCAAATGTAGGATTGTTATGTCTTCCTGGTAAATCAAACCTGTTAGCATTATGGAGTAACCTTTTTTTCCATTGATTTTTTTTACTTATTTTTGGCATTATAAGATCCACTTTGCTGACACTAGCATTTTTTTATCAGTATTTTCAAGGACTATCTTTTTTTGTAAATCTAGGCTGCTGATCTTTGTCCTTTATGTGGAGAATTTAGTCCATTTTCATTTAATGTCATAATTGATAGATTTGGGTTTAAGTCTGCCGTCTCACTTGTTGCTTTCTGCATTTCCCACCTGTTCTGTGTTCTTTCTCTCTTTTCTTGCTTTCTTTGGATCAAATACCATTATTGCATTTTTTGCTCGCTTTTGGCTTATTTTCATACATTCTTTTAGTCGTTACTAATTGGTTACCTTAAAGATTAATACTTACATATTTGTCTTATTAAGTCTACTATAAGTTAATTCTTTTGTTGCTTCCTTGGCAGTTAGTGCCTTGGAAACTTTAACTCCATTTACCTCCTCTTGACTTACGTGCTTTTCTTGTTGTATACTTTTATTCTCTGTATTTTGAAATCCAGCAAGGTTGTTTATAGTCAATATTTAGTTGGATTCATCCAGTTAGTTACTCTTTCACTGTTTCCATGCCTTCTCTTATTTCCGTTCTTTCACCTGGGATCATTTGCCTTGGGCCTGAAGAATGTCCTTCATTTCCATTAGTGCCAATTTGCTAGTGATGAATTTTCTCAGTTTTGTTTATCAGAAAACTTTTGATTTTACTTTCACTTTTGAAAGATATTTTCCTGGGTATTGAATTCTAGATTTATAGTCTTTTTTTTTTTTTTTGGAGCCTGTTGAAAATACATATTCACTGTCTCTTGGCTTCCATTTATTTCTCTTATCTGGGAATACCATTGTCTTCCTTTAGCTACATTTAAGTTTGGGTTTTGTTTTTTGGGGTTTTTTGTTTGTTTGTTTTGGGGGGTTTTGATCACCATTAATTTTAGAATGCTTTGCATAGGTGTGATTACAATTATATTTATTCTTTGGTTGTTGTAATACTTAAATCTGTGATTTGATTTCTTCCCTCAGTTTTGGAATATTCTCAGTTATCATCTCTTTAGGTATTGCTTCTGTCCCATTCTCCCTTTGCTCTCTATGTGGTGCTCCAGTTTGCAGATATGTTAGTCTTTTTCACTGTCTCTTGTGTTTTCTTGTGCTTTGCATCACCTGGGCCAGCCTCGTGGGGGCGGGTTGAATATGACTGTGCTTCATCCTGGATAGTTTCCAAATTCAGTATTCTCTCTTCAGTCCTTTCTACCATGTTATTGAGTCTATCCATTGAGTTCTTTTAAATACTGTATATTTCAGTTACTAGGATTTTCATTTCATTCTTTTATATAGTTTCCAGTTCACTGCTAACTTTATCCATTTTGTCATTTTCCTTTGAATATATTCAACCTAAGTATTCTGAATAAAGCTGATAACTCCATTATATGGGTTTCCTGGGGGTTGATTTCTATGGGCTAGTGTTTCAGATTTTGATCATATTGTCTTGTTTTCTTGTTGTTTTATTATGTGACAAACACCATGTAATAAAAACTACAGAGACAGCTTGAGACCCAGGCTGATGTTACCTTCCTCTGGAGCCAGTGTGTCTCTGCTTCTGGCGGATGATTTGTAGCAGTCCCAGCTCGTTTCAATCTAGTCAGTAATTACGGTGATTTGAAGCTGAGCTTCAGTCTCTGTAAGAGCCAGTCTGTTTCCTATTCATTCTTACTCTCAGAGTGTCGTCCTACTAAGTCCTGGTCTCACGCTGGGGGAGGGTTACCAGTACCCCTTCCTTCTTGGCGTGCCCCAAGCTCTCAGTTTCTCAATTGCCTCTTCTGGAATTAGTAGTGCCCTGTCTGGAATTACCTTCTCCAGAATCTCAGGCCATAATTCTTTACTGCCTTGTTAGCTCTCTGATGCTTTCAAACGTGGGTTTTTTCCCAGCTTTTTCAGTTCTCAGCAGGAGTAGTGGTTTGAATTACCTTGTCTGCCATTTCTGAAAGTGGAATTTCCCATAATGTATTTATAGTATTTGCTAATTTTAGTCCTTTAATCTCCTACATTTATGTGGCAGTTAGTATTGTACGAAGTCCTTTTATATACATCTTCTCATTTAATAAAGAAGGTATTAGTATCCCTACTATACGGATTCGAAAGTGCTCTCCAAAGAGGGCCGGTGACTCGAGCGAGTTCACACCAGCCTGATGACTGAGCCGATACTCAAATTTAAATCTTCTAATTCTGAAGTCTGACTTTTATTCTGCCACACCACAGGTATAAACTTTTGTGTTTTAATGTTTGTTGCTTTTATCAAAGAAAGAATAAATGTAAATTTATGATTTTATTTTGTTTTGTTTAAAAATGTGATTCAGCATGAGCCTACCTTTCCACTGATAGATTCAAGTTCTCAGAACCAGATTAGAAAACGCATCGTACTTGAAAAATTGAGTAAAGTGTAAGTATGTAATTATCATTCCACTTCTATAATATTTAAAACTTAATTTGTTATCTGTGGGTTCATGACTTATAGGTGTAACCCTTAAATGTTGAACAGTTTAGAAAGTAATGTGTAAAGTTTACATGGATTTCTTCACCTGAGAAATTCAGATTTTTAAGATGTCCCACCAAAGAACATTGGAATTGTTTTGTGTAGAAGACATAGAGACACGTAACAAAGAGGAAGGTTGAGATTATGGGAGCGGAAAACCCAGACTGCCTCACTCCCACTTAATAATCCAGTGAAGTCAGGAAAAAAATATCAGAGCTCGACCTATTTAAATACTGATTTGTGGTAAACCTGTCACATCAGTTTCACATGTAAATAAGATTTTATCAAGGTTTAACGGTTTATTAACTCACCCTGTATACATATTCATAGAACCATTTCACACTCAGCAACTTGAGTTTTACACTTTAGTTTTAAGCTTCCCGTAGTGGAAATTATTGTTCTTGTAATTAGCCCAGTCATAAATGACATTTAAAAATTGCAATCTTGGTTTCTCTTTCAGAGGAGCTTGAAAATCTTCTTTTCCAGAGGTGTGACAGCTATCTTGAACTTTTCAACCTGCTTTTTTTTTTCTTCAGCAGAAAAGATGGAAAGGTGTTTTCAGTTATTGTTTAAGGTGTTGTGCCCACGGAGGAGTCTTAATTCTGTAGTAGTTCAAAAATAAAAGCTTATTTTTTGGAAGTCTTTAGAGTTTTGAGCATCTTACTCCTCTGAGTTTTACACTTTAAATAAGTATTTAAATTAATATTTATTGAATGCCTGTGTTAGGCTCGTATATAATAAATCCTTTAGTTTTACCTTTTCTCTACTCTTAATACTTGTAGATTTGTTTCTGTTAAATATTAGTTTAGAAAATAGTATAAGAAACCATCTGTCTGGTTCATAGGGCAAGAAGGTACCAATCCTTGATTTCAGTTGTACATAGTTTAGTTTTGAAAGTTGGGATGGATTATCTATACTAGTATGTAATCAGAGATTCACGTGAAAGTAGTTTTCTAGGCTTTTTAGCTAATGAAAGTACCCAGTTTAAAATTTAAGACCACACAGGCATGTCATTGAATGAATTCTTGTTTCTTCTGGGTTTTGACTACAACAGAAGATACCAGAAGGAACCCTGCTAGAAGACCATATGATCAATATTAGCGCAAGAACTAAATTTGAGGAGGAGTGGAATAACTTAAAGACAAAGAAGCACAAAGAACACTGAAAACAAAATAATTATAGTGATAGGGGCTTTTTTGGTTGGTTGTTCATGAAAGCAATTGAGTTTTTTTCTCATTATAAAAGTAACACCTAATTATAAAAGTAAGACCTCTTCTGGTTTCTGATTGGAACAAACCAGTTGTCAAAACAAAACAAAAAAGCACTTTTTTTAGAGAATCAAAGAAAATAAAGTATGTACTGGGTAGCAGAGGCTATTTAGGAATTACTGTTAATTTGGTTAGTTGTGATCATTGTGATTATATACAAAAATGCACTTGCATTTAGAGATACATAAGGAATAATTTAATGGTCAAATGATACCATGTCAGGGATTTACTTTAAAATGTTACTGCAAAACAAAGAAAAGAAGGAAAAATGAAGCACACGTAACAAAATATTGGAAGGTTGAATCTGGGAGTAGAAATGGGGGGGGTTATTAATGCTACCCTATTTTGGATCATATTTAAAACTTTATGTTCTTTAAATAAAAATACATGCTAATGGCCAAAGATTTAGGCTGTATAAAATGGTATAAATGAGGGAGTGAAAATCATCTGTAATCCCACCACTCAAAAGTAACTATTAATATTTTGGTGTTTATACCTAACATATATATGATACACTGGTATATGTGTATTCATTCCTTTTGGTTCCACTATAGTATAAACCTAAAAAAAAGAAATATGTTTGCTATGTACTATGTATCATACTAGAATTGCATTATAATATATATGTTTTTATAAAAATGGAATAATACTAGTACACATTTTTCACTTAACATTTATCATAAATATCTTTCCACATTATAAAACATATTTACATGATTATTGTAAAGGTTTTATTATTATGTGGTTATATCATAACTTAATCACCTGTGGATGGACCTTTGTTACCAGTTTTTCACTACTAAAAATATTTCTGCAATAACCATCTGTGTATGTTTATCTGATAATTTCTTTAGGGTGAATTTTTTCATAGTGAAACTATTGGGCCAAGGAGTATCTACGCCTAGCATGGCAGTGTATGTTGTCAAATTGCTTTCTAGAAATGTACCATATTTTACTCTTACTGTAAGGATTTAATAAGAAAGATGCCACACTTCCACGTTGGGCCATTTTGGGGGCAGTTCCTCTGGCCTTGTGTTCTTCCCGTTTGTTAATATTTGAAAGTAAAAAGGTAAGAAGTAACTAGACACAAGAATTTAGATAGCAGCCAGAATGACACTGTTGCATTTCAGGGCCTGACCCTGAAGCATAGACTTCAGGAGAGAGTGCGGGTTATTTTGGAACATTCCTTCATGGCTTCTCACCAGTCATTGTCTGCCTTACCCCTGCCTGCAGCTTTGTGCCTTTGTTGTCTATGGCAAATAGAGACCTAGGCAAGACCCAAAAAGTGTATCTATATGATTAAGTTATATTTGTAAAGGGATATAATTTTTTATTTTCAGATTGCCTGGACTTTTGGGGCCTCTTCAGATTACATTTGGAGATGTTTACACACAACTTAAAAATCTTGTCCGAACTTTCAGGTTAGTGTTAATATTACAGTTCTCCTTCTGAGTTATTCTGACACTATGTGATTGCCTTGCAGAATCCACAGGTACTGTAAGGCATGAAGAAACGAAGTGACTTACCTTCATTGTCTTAGATCTAAAAGCTGTGTTTTATGTTCTCTTCCACTAAACAACATCACTTCTTTCTTTTGTTAAATGCAACCCTTTATGTGCTCAAAGCTTGGTATGTTTAGCTTTGGATAGTTTATTTATGACATAACCTAAAATTAAAAGGGAAAATGATATGTGAGACACAAAGGCAGTTAGCCAGCAACATCTTGGGTGTTAGTGATTAGTGAATATGTAGACCAGATGACCAGCACTGTGCACAGTACAGAACAAGCATAATGCCCCGCCTTGAGGGAGACCCCTGTGAGCAGACAGGGCAAGCTTGGGGAGCAGAGCAAGGCCGTGGGTAGTTCAGTACTGAACTGTGTGGGACAGACTCGAAATGATAAGAAGCACAGTGAATAGAAGTATCGGTCATGAGGTGAAGCAGTTGGGATTTATCTGAAACTATCAAGATAAAAATACTCAACCAGGCTGACTAGGTTCTCTACCAAGGGAAGCAGAGAGAGAGGCTTCTAGACACGTTCTTAGCAGAGGTGTACCGAGTACACACTCCGGCCAAATGCCAGTGACCAGCCATTGAGTTGACATTTGTCTGTGGCTAAAGCCAGATAGCACCAACATAGAACGAACTTCTAGGGTAGAGGGATCATTTCATCCAAAAAATTATTGTTATAAGTTATTGTCAACAATAGTAGTAAGATTTTTAAAGTTTAAAGTTGTAATACAGGAACAATTTGTTGGCACCGTCGGCAGTTAGATTTCTCTGGCAGTCGCTGTATTGTACATCAGTAGTACCAATAGACATTCACTTTCAACCAGCACGTTTCGAAACATCACTGATCTTCTTGTGTGCCACAAAGTAATTCAGGAAAATGTTTAGAAAATTTTTTAAGCCTCTTTAACATTTTTTATTTTCTGAAGAGTAAAGTACGTCATTAACGTAGACATTTCTGGTTTAAGTACTCAGAGCATACCATGTCACTGAGGTGCCCACCAGGAGTCAGACTACGTACCTGTGCGCGTGTGTAGTGGACAGAAACGGTAGCAGAGGCAACATTGCTTTTTAATTCATCGTCACAAGATTTGAAGAATTCCCCAGTAGGACTTCTTCTTAAAAGAGTTATGGTTTGAATGGAAGTAACTAAAATTTAAATACAGCTCTTAGAAGTTACTGTCTTCAGTGTAATGATTGCTAGTACATGATACAGTTTGCAAAGACAGAATTACGATAAAATCTAATCTGTTATTCATTCTTACATTTGAATTTTTATAAACATTTTTTCCAAGGTGTAACATTCTTGAGAATGTTATCTACTTAATGTATTAAATATTGTATTAACTCTCTATTTTGCTGAATAATTGAAAATTTCTATTAATTGTTTTATACATAAAATTATTTTCATAAGCAACATTAATTACTACAGCCTTTTACTTTTCTGTACTGATAAAACAAGCACATAAAGGCATTCTCACTCCGTTTCATCTAGAATGTTTATATTTGAAGCTGATTGTTCAGGTAATAATAAATCTGAATGACATGATTGTTCTAATTACTGAGATTGTTATAGGCGTCAGATTTTTGTGGAAACTAGGCAATCCCAAGATCACTGATCACACACGAGTTTAGAGATGCCAGAAATGGTGCTCAGAGTGGCATAGGCCTTTGGAAGACTACCGAAATGCTTTGCTAATGGGACGGTTTGCAGGCCAAATACCAAGACCAGAGCCAAACTTCTCTGCGTCCTTATCTAGCAATGAAGAGAGAGACACTTGTTTTTTAGGTCTCTGTTATATACCTATCACAAAAACATGCATCCAAAAAAAAAAGTTTTTCCACTGTCGATACTGATGATAAAGTTTGAATGGATATACACAACGTGGAAGCACTGAAGTTTAGAATTTGTTCAGGATTTATTAGGAAGCAAATATATTAAAAAAAAAAAAAAAAGGTTAGCTGAGGGAAGATGAAGACCGGGCACTGCTGTTTCAGTGATTTTTAGAGGACTTGGCATTCAGTTTTTTGCAGACAGCGTTTATTTAATCAGCATTCTGAGCAAATTGGTAAAGTTACCAAAGACGTAACAAAAGAGATTAGAATAGAGTCTTTGATCTTGAGCTACAAATACTAATTTTGTACTTCATTTTTCACCTTGCTCATTTGGAATAGATTAACAAGTGATTCCGTTTACTTTGTATTTTCTAGAGCTATTTTCCTATCTAATTGGATGTTTGTTTGTTTTGACTATTCTGAGGGTCTCAGAACTTACTAAAAGTTCACTGGAAAGCAGTGTTTGGCTGCCACTGCAGGGCCGCCATGTGGCTGCATTCCCGCCCCGGGGCTCAGGGCTTGCAGGTCAGCGGGGGCCGCTGTCCAGGCCGTTTGTGATTTTGGGCTTTTGAAGCAACCCTAATAATGCTGTTTGGTCCACGTCAGTGCATGTATTCAGTGTAGTACTCCCTGTGTGCCAGTCACTTACTTGCAGTGCAGAAACAACTGGTCAGATAACATATTTGGAGTCTTCACATTTTGGCAGGATGGTTTTCACAGGTTCGTGACTGCAGGCTAGGGCTTCTAGGTTAAGTCTCTGAGAAATGCCATATTGATGACAGCGACTAGTATGCAGAGGCATTTCCAGTCAATACTGGCAGTGGGAAAGAGCTGACATAAATAACCGTATCTTTCTCTGTGAAATGATAATCAATAACAGGAGCTTGTAGAACAGTGATTCTCAAGCCGGTTGTGCCTCAGAATCACCTGGGGAGCTTTCAACAACCACGGATGCCTGGCTCCACCCCTGGAGATGGAGTTTCGTTTGGTTAGGGTTGGGCCCAGACACTAGTATTTTTCAAAAGCCCCCCAGGTGATTCAAACGTGCAGCCAGAGCCCAGAGCCTGTTAGAATTAACATAAAGCAGCTCTCTGAGCTCTTTGAAGAACCTCTCCCTGGTGAGTAGAGCTGTCCTTTCCGCTGAATTGCATCACAGTCGTTTATCTGGAATGCTACATTGATTTACTGTCACAGTGGCTCCATCAGCAGTTGCTTGGTGCACTGTCATCAGTGTTGAAGCAAGATATTATTCTAAATCTGATTTGAATTAAAGTTTTATTTTGACACAAAAGCCCTTTTTAAATTTCATCAGTGATGATTCATGGTATTTTTTCTAAATTGATACTGAATTTCAAATTATATTTTGAAACTGTTTTTTTTAAATGTTTTCTATGGAATATTACTGGTTTCATTTTTGAATAATCACTCAGACAATGGTAAGCATGTTCATTTAGCATCTGTGCTTGAAATTATTTTGGCTCAGCCAAAGGGAAGATGTGACGGCAGGTAACAACCTGCTGCTTTGCCCCTTTGACATGGAAGCAAAGACCGTGTTCTCCCCAGGGCCTGAGACAGTGGTGCAGAGCAGGCGCTCAGTGGGCTTTTTTCTAAATAAGTGAATAAGTTCATGAAATCTTAGATTTGTCATAGCTTTGGGAGATTTGAGTACAGTAGAAAAGGAAGTTCTGTTTAACTGTTTTTGCCCTTTTTTTCCTTACATGCTTATCCTTCGTTGACCTTTTCTGGTAATGTGCTAGATCCTGTTTTAGTTGCTACAGATGAAGTAGTGAACAAAGTGATAAAAGTTCCTTCTCTTCTAGAACTGTTCTAACAGAGAAGATGTGTAAAATGTTAAAGGCAGTATGTGTGTTATTACTGTTACATGGTGATATGCCCTTTTCCCTTTCCCAGTTCATTCCTCTCCTTTACCCGCCAGAATCAGGGAGGAGGGGATGTCCTGAGGAGGAAGGAGGAAGTGGTGATTTTAAATAGGCTGGTCAGGGAAGTCCTCATTGAGAAGATGCCATTTGTCTAAACATCTAAAAGTTGGTACGGGAGCAAGCCACGTTGCTATCAGTGAAAATGTATCAGACGGGGAATCGCAGGTACCAGTGCCCTGAAGCAGAAGCAGGCCTGCTGTATTCACAGAGCATGAAGGATGCAGATGAGGCTGGAGAAGTGAGCGGAGTCAGAGGCGCAGAGAAGCAGCCAGAGAAGGAAAGGGCCGGGCGTGGGTGTGGTGTGGTCCACGGGCCGTGGGGCCGTGGTCGTTCTGTCGCTTTTACTCTGAGTGGGACAGCAGTTTGTGGATTCTGAATAGAGGAATGATGTGATCTGATGTATATTTTTAACGGCATCACTATGACTGCTGGTTGGAGAATAACGAAAGATGCTCAGAGGCAGGAAGACCATTTAGGATGCTGTTTCGTTAATCTAGGCAAGAAGTGATGTGGACCGAGGTGAAGGCGGAGATAATGAGATTTAATTTTGATGATAGAACCATCAGAATTTGATGACTGTGATATGAAAAGAGTTAAGGTTACATTTAATCCTCACAAGAACTCTGTGAGGTAAGGTGGTACTATAGTCCTGTTTTACTAAATTAAAAAAAAGAATTTTACAGTCATTGAATGTGTCCACGGTAAAACACTGCGAAGTGGCAGGTCTGAATATTGACCCCACATCCAGCAGTGTCTTTAACCACTATCCTATACTCCTTCTTACATCATCTAGAGTTTTAATAATTCTGTAGAAAATTTTAACTATGGAAAAAATTCAAAGTAATTTAACAAACAGACACACATTCTCCACTCCGAAGTAATGGATTTTAATATTTTAAAAGATTTGATTTGAACATCTTTAAATAAATAGAACGTTTTAGGTTAGTTTGGTAATTAAGAAAAATTAATTGAATCTCCTCTGACTGTCAGGCACTTGTTCTGGGCACTTGGAATCAGTATGTAAAGAACACGAAGACTCCTGCCCTCAGCCAAGGCAAAACAGATAGTAATCAGTCAGTGCACAGGAAGTGCGTGTTAGAAGGTGATGAGTGGTACAGGGATAGAGGGGGATACGCAGAGGGTCAGGGACTCAGAAGTGTGCGGCTGGGAGGTAGAGGAAGCTGCGCTTCTCAACAGTGTGGTTCCCCGTGGACCCTGCTGCAAAGGAGACAGAAGGGAACTTTGCTGGGGAAGATAGTTTGAGGCAGATGGAATCACCAGCACAAAAGACCACAGACTTAAAGTCCTTGTCCCCTTTCCCAGTCCATTCTCCTTTCATCCCCAGAAGCATCCAGCACTGTGAAATTCATGTGCATCTTTCTAGTCTTTGTTTTTGTACTTTTAGTACATATGTTTGTGCCCATAAATATGTATATAAAAAATGTCATATTACACTTGCTGATTTTCATTCAAGTTATAATGAGCAAAATATGTAAGTTTATTCGTTCATCCTAACAGCTATTTAGTATTCTATAAAAATGCCGCAGTTTATTATTCTGTTACAAGCAGTGTCATGTCAAATATCTTCATATAATTCACTTGTGCTTAAGTGAAAGAATTTAAGGTTTATATTTTGAAGTTATTCTTACTCATTTTCAGCTTTATTACACATTGCTAAATTGTCTGATTGCTCCCATCAACAATGTGTTAAAAGTAATATTTCTTCATGTTCTCATCAACTCTTGGTGTTGTCAGTCTTTTATTTTGCCAGCGGAATGGGGTAGATTTTTATTTTTTATATTAATTTCCCAGCCTACGAGTGAGATTGAGCTTCTCTTCATATGTTTACTGGCCATTCAGCTTTTCTTTTCTGTAAATCACCTGCTCACATCCTTCGCTAATTTATTTATTGGCCATTTTTATTTTTAAGACTTTATTTTTTTAAGAGCAGTTTTAGGTTCATAGCAAAATTGAGAGAGAGGTACGTAGACTTCCTGTGTGCGCCCTGCCTCCACGCGTGCGTGGCCTCCCCTGTTGAAACCACCCCCACCACATACGTTTGCTACAGTTGATGCACCTGTATGAACAGCACCATTGTCACCCAGAGGCCGTAGTTTACCTTAGAGTTCACTCTCAGTGTCGTGCATTCTGTGGGTTTAGACAAATATATAATGATACCTGTCCTTCATCACAGAATTATAGTGTTTTCATTGCCCTAAAAATCCCTGCGTTCCACCTGTCCTTCTCTCCTCGCCTGCCCCCCCGCTCCTCGCAGCCACTGGGGGTCTGTTTACTGCCTCCATGGCTTCACCTTTTCTGGAATGTCATATTCTTGGAGTCGTACAGTCTGTAGCCTTTTTAGACTGTCTTCTTTCACTTAAATAATTTGCATCTAAGACACCCCATGTCTTTTTATGGCTTGATAGCTCATCTCTTTTTAGGACTGAGTACTATTCCATTGTCTGGCTGCACCACAGTTTATTTAACCATTTACCTACCGAAGGCCGTCTTGGTTGCTTCCCAGTCTGGACAGTTATATAAATAGAGCTGCTTGTATAAACACCATGTGCAGAGTTTTGTGTGGACACAAGTTTTCGACTCCGTTGGGTAAATATCAAGGAGTGTGATTGCTAGATCATCTGGTAGGAGTATGTTTAGTTTTGTAACTGTTTTCCAAAGTTGCTGCACCATTTTTTTCCTCCACCAGCAATGAATGAAAGTTCCTCTTCAAGCCCTTGCTAACATTTGGTTTTGTTGATATTCAAGATCTTGGCCATTCTAATACTGTGATGTATCTCGTTGTTGTTTTAATTTACATTTCCCTGATGACATGTGATGTTGAGGATCTTTTCATATGCTTGTTTGCCATCTGTGAATCTTCCTTAGGGAAGTGTCTGTTAAGGTCTTGAGCAATTTTTTAACTGGGCAGTTTGTTTTCCTGTTGTTAAGTTTCAAAATGTCTTTGGTATTTTGGATAACAGTCCTTTATCAGATGTTGTTGGCTGGGTTTTTTCAATTGATTATATTTTTTTTTTTAGAGTAATCTTTCTAAGTGCTTTCTGAGAAATGAAATGACTGCAGTGTGTTTTGTTGTCATCAACTGCTAAGTGATAGAATTTACTTCTGATTTTTTAAAACTCGTTTTCTTGAATAAAGACCTAGTCTTACAGTTTATTAGGTCAACTCTCATTTCTGTAAGTTATGGATTGAGACAGCCCTTAATTGCCTGTGGCCAGCCTGACACAAGGCAGAAAGGCACAAAAGGTGAACTGAAGGTAGAATCAGAAATTGCGTACCTTGCTACCCTTAGTGAACGTTTGATCAGGGGAAACATAGAGGAGGTGGCTACAGGGGGCGCGTGTGTCTGTGTGTCTTAATAAGCCATGGGACTTAGCTTCCCATGTGTTCCTGTGTCCCCACCTTGTCTGAAGTAGTCCTGTTATAAACGCGTCACAGTGAGGCTGGAGCACTTCCTTTGAGATGGTCATTATTAGATGCTGAATATCAAGCCACATTATTGTACTGTTGACTCTCGTCTATCAAGTATAACAAGAATAAAAAACAGTGCTCTTTAACACATAATATTATAAATCTGATTTTATCTAAACATAGAAGGTTTGTGTATTTAAATGTGACAATCTTTTGGTGAATTTTATCCTCCTGTCTTTCAGATTAACAAATAGAAATATTATACACAAACCTGCAGAGTGGACCTTAATTGCTTTGGTGTTGCTGTCATTGTAAGTACTCTTTCAGACTTTTAACTCTGAATACTGAAGATGAAGAATTTTGATCAGGAAAAAAGAGTGACTCATTAATTTTCTAAATTTCCTTGGAAAATGTTGTGCCTCTGTCTTGTGCCTGTTTTCCTTTCCTGAGCAACAAGGTAGCTTCCGTGTAAAGCGATGCACCAGATCTTGAAAAGCTATAATCATTCTCTTCATATTTTTTGCTGTCTTGTCTTCTGAGGGCCTTTTTCTCCTCAAATGTTATTTGTAATCTCTTGACGGAGAACGTCCCCATATGGGAGACATACAGGCCAGTCCCTTAATTTCATTTCTAACAATGCATTTTACTAACATCAAAAGGCGTCATTATTTTACATCTGTATTTTTTACCAATATATCTAATGCTATTTAATTTTTCATCACCATTTTTTATCATTAATAGCACCAGAAAAGTTTTGTTTTCCAAATTAATGTACATTTTTAAAACCAAACAGATTTAAAGGAACTAAAGTAGATACTATACAAGCATGTATAAAACATTTAATACTCATTCACCTTTTAAGAAATCACTAGTGGCTTCTAAGGCTGTCTTTCAGTAGGGTTAAAACCATCAGTAAGTGTAGTGTTTTTCAGCTTGAATTGCAAAAGTCTCCTTTTGAAGACCATTCATTACTGCATTACTGTTGCCGCTTGGTGCTTGTTAGGTCATTGAAGCCCACAGGACATCGAGTACTTACTGGACACTCACAGGTCAAGACTGTTGCGAGCCAGCCTCATGGCATCTCCAGCCCTGCTTTTCTCTCTTTGATACTACTTCAGTCTGACATGTTATTCTGGCTTCACTGTCCCAGGGACGGCTGTGCTGGGAGCCATTAGAGCAGGCTTCAGTGAGCCAGCGTCCGTGTCACCCAGCTAGACACAGCTCACATGATTCATTAAATCAGAACATAGAAAATAACTTTACTTGAATGCCCTGATATAAATTTTTTATCAACCATAAGAACAAATCTTTTGTCATTTCTACTATTCAGTGTTCCAGTTGAATTGGTAATTTGTGAAACAGATCTTATTAATTTTTTAGAAAGTTCTTTCCATTTTATGAAATTTGTAAATATTTTGGTCACTGGCAAAAAAAATCAGTATCTCTGCTCACCCACCATATCCTATGCCTGCTAATAAACCCTCACAGATAACTGTTGAGCTATACTTCTGCAATTTATTATACTAAAGGGGAAGTAACTTCTCTGGTTGACAAGTCGGAGGCCCAGGCCTGCAGTGATCTCAGAGTCCTGCTTTCTAAACCGGTAGCTGGAAGTATTATCTCACTGAGCATCTGCTGCTGTAGACACATGCGAAGTCCAACTTCTTTTTGTATCATCTTCTCCAAAATGTGTAGCCAGGGACAGAAAAAAGTATGGAAAGTGAAATAAAAAATGCTACCATTAGAATTTCATGTGGTTATTCTATACAAAAGTAAACCTCTCATTCTTGATTTTACTGGAGGCACTCATGCGGCCCAGAATGCTGGAAGCTTTGCTGCTCCTTTATGCAGTATTTGACTTCCCTAATTTCGGATGTAGTGTAAACATTTCAAGGGTCAGTGACCCATAAAAATATAACTTAATTGAATTCAAGAAGCAAACCGCACACATCTTGGGTGTATTGCATGTTTCGCATTGTGCAGTCGGTCTTAAGATTGTAGCAGTAAACGTTGTGTCCTTCTGTCATTCACCGTAACCCTTCTCTTCCATTGTTCTCCAACCCCTACTTTTGGACCTGCCCATCTTTCTCCTAGTCTTTGGTCCTGTTGATCCCTTGACAACTAACAGCCTTTCCAGTTAGGGCTCTTTTGGCTTCTTTTAAAGTCCTTGGTCACTGTAGGCACCAAGCCAGCTGGTACTTCTTAGTTTTCGCCTTTCAAGTCTTGTTTTCTCTTAATTCTCTCTTTCACCGTAGACCCTCCTTGCACACTCTTTATATTCCGTGGCTGAATCTCCTGATTCTTTGGTCATCAGTTTCTAAGATTTCTGTCTCCTGTCACCATATTATTTTATTTGTTATTTTCTCATTTGTCAGAAAATCCCCTTTAACTTTTCATATTTCCGCCCTCCCAGGAATCTGCAGCTCGGCTGATAACCCCTTTCCTTCTCAGCCTGTCCTCTTATCATCCTTTTAGATTATTACCACATGAGGTGGGGATAAAATTAAAATACATACCCGTCATGTTAAAGCTAATCCTTTACACTGACTTCTGTGAAGTATAATTGTGCTTTAATTTATATTTGCATCCCTCCGTCCTCCCACTTACAGTTCATAGTTACTTTTTGAGAACACATTTTATCACTGGGGAAAGAAAAATCAGACATGAGGACTAGCATTGGATAAAGAGCCTTTAACAGTGAAAGATGTGGAGACTTCAGACACTTACAGAGAGACATGGACATATAAAGGTAGCACACACACACATTTGTGGAGCAGTAACCCCACCATTCAGCCTTTTAATGTATTGTTGCTAAGACTGAACATGGGCATACGTGGGATTGCCTTTAAAAAGAAATTATCCTATGATTCGGAAAACCTTTGCATCTGCTCTCAAATTTCCAGTGGAATTTTTTTAGTCATTGTTTGCAGACATTTCTGCAATTAATGTTAAAAAATGAACTTCTTATAAGTCTTTATAGCTAGGAAAAAAATTCTGAATGGCACTTGTAGTAACTGCACATGAGGATAGTAAGATAATACGTTCAGTATTATTGCAACAATGGTGCTATTCTTTGTATATGAATGTTGTAAAGCTTTGTTATTATTAGCATTTAATGCATGAACAGTTTTCAAAATTCTTCAGGAGAACTACTTAGAAAAGGTTACATATACACATATGTAATTTTATTAGTAAAATAAATGGCTCAAGTCTAACTCTTGTTGGGGGGAAAACCAGTATTTTGAACAAAACATGATAGTCCAGAGGAAAGAAAGCTGGGTCTGTATTCTTAAAAGTAAATAAAATATCTCTGTGGCAAATCTTTTCTTGGTAACTTCCCTTGTACTTTCACAGATATATTAACATTTAAAAAAACTTGAACCACAGTGTGTAATTTATCAGTGTGTACTGATGGGGATTTTATACCCATGTAATCTCAGAAGGAAATCGATCAAACCAAGTTAGCACACTTCATCTTGCACACTCAGTGCATCCATATATAAAAATACAATATGGCCCATTCACACTTCACTCACAGTTCCACAGGACCTGGACGGCCAGTGTGACCACAGCAGCTGTGGTGTTAGTACCGTGTGCTGAGACGCTAACAGTTACCAGGAGCACACCGAGAGGCCTTAAAAGCAGAGCTTAAGCAGTATACGTTGATTTAGCAGTGAAGGAATTAATGTCCCTTTACGCCTCTCACCTTTACTTACTAACAGTATCATTAACAAAGGTAAGTTCTCCGGAACTCCTTGCACGTGGGAAACATCTGTTGCAGTGGTAGTCACCCCGGTGCCATTGTCCTTAAATGGCCGACTGGAAACGCAGTGAAGTAGGTTGGTGGCTGGTTGTTGCTTGAACTCTTGGCTGTAGAAGTTCTGTCTTTGTTGGGCTTTATTGCACTTTACAATTACATGCTGAATGTTGCAATAATACAAAATTGAATCTGATTTTCTCACATACATAATGCTCTCGTATGATATTAGGCTCTTTCCACAGTCTTGATGCATGGCTTTTCATAAAAATGTGTATAAATACATAGTCTGCTGTAAATGTTCTAGCACCTGTATGCTCTGTTGGGTGAGGTTTGTTAATGTGTTTTTACATTCTGATGTGTTTATACACTGCATCAGAAAGCACAGTAAATTATGTGACAGTGTGCTTTACGATGCCTCCTCGTAGTCTGTCACGTGTTCGTTTTTACATTCCTCATAATTCTCATCTGCCCTTCGTATAGGAAAACAGAAACTGAAGACTCGCTTTGCATCGTGGTCATGATTTTCAGAGTAGGTTCCTTGAGAAGATTTTGACTGGTATTTTGAGAAGATTTCTAGCCATGGGACACTACCCCCCACGCCCAGCTCGGTCCTCCTCCTCCTGTCCCACTTTCCTTTGCTCACAGTCTTCCCAGTCTTCTTTGACCTCTGTTACTGTACTTGAGCCTGTGACACGGAGGGGACTGTGCAGATGTTGACCTAAAGCTGAGAAATGGGAGGAGTGATCCAGACCAGGGCTGGCAGCCAAAGAGAAGCCGTATAGAAGGCTATGGAGAAGCAGAATGACTGGCCTGAGTTCCTTCCTGTGTAGCTGGCATGGATGCTGGCTCCATGCCAGGCGGGGATCAGTTTCCTCAGTGACTCCTTGTATTTAGAGTCTAACTTTTTCACACAAATTTAATGGGGAATTTTTGTAAATAGCCACTACTTACGTATTATGGTGATCTGTGGTTAATTACAGCACGGGAGTCACAGGTCCCTTAGTGGAGAGCCAGAGAGAGAGGTGCGTGCTGTGTTCCGTGGGACTGATTTGGTTGTCTGACAAAGAGGTACGCAAGTGAGCACTCACTCTGTGCTCCTTAGACAGCCTGGAGGGTAGAGAGTGCCTTGTGCTGGTCTGGCGTGGACGCCTGCTACTCCTAGTTCTGTGCCTCTGGTGTTCTCTAATGGAAAGCTTTCAAGATCGTCTCCAAAAATGTCTGCTTTCATTTTATTTATCTGAACTGTCTGTTTCCAGTGAACTGTGGCCCACTTCCTAGACAAAGACCATGCAATAGTTTATTCCCCCTAAAAGCTTTGAGTATTCCCGTCGTTCTGGGAGTAGCATGTAAGTCCTAGGAAATGGTATTTAAATAAGCTCAACTTGACCATGCTCACTAAACAAAAGCCTTCCCTGGACGTGGGCAGCCACTTTAGGTAACCATCATACAGAGACACTCGAGAGAGTCACTTCCCTAGGGTACTAGGCATGGATGGAAAGATGTGACGAAGGCTTTTTGCCTCAGCAGATTGTCTTTTATAGCGCGCCCATC